TGAATATCAGCAAATACAATGAGACTGTAATTCTGAATGTCCCTGTTGAGAAAGGGTCCTCAGTTTCTTCTTGCCTGTGTATGTGGTGTGGGGACGTGTGTCTGTATCCATGCGCCTGATGTGTGTGTGTACCCCTGGTGTGTGTATGTATGTGTGTGTGTACATGCTTTTATTTTCAGAGAATTTTGTTGACACAGTGACTGACCTGATGCTGGATATCATTATCCTATCTTATGAGTCACTGACATGAGATGCAAGAGTTGACTGGCTGATTTGAAAATTGGAATTGAGAAGGTAAACAAAGGCTTTCCCCCTTAAAACTGGCCTGCCAAGCATATAATTAGGGCTTTTCACCTCATCAGCCAGCTGTTGAGAGCAGATCTATTATCTCACCCCCGAGTAGAGGCACAGACTAGTTTCGGTGCAGCCGGAACCATTGCTTACCAGCTTCTGGCCTGCATTTTTGTTTTCTCTTGACCACTAACCTCGGGGGGGGGTGGGGGGTGGGGGTCGGTTTGTGTGCCTGTACCAGGCACATTCTGAAGCACCCTGAGCACCACTTTGGGTCTGTATGTCAAAACCAATATTATGCTTAGCAAGTCAGTTTTAGAATACGAATTTAGTGACCATCAATGGCTGCTGTGACTAGATATTGAAAAATATCTTAATATCCTTATTTTTTGTTAAAAACCCCTAACACTGAAGAACCTTAACTGAAAACTGAAATGTATATCTTTTGAGGGGATAAACCTTTCATCAAAGCTCTGTCCAGTGGAAGTCCCCTGCAGACCTCTTTGCTGGGAGTGAGTTCGGTCAGTTGGATGGACTCACATGAATCACATCTAAATTACAAAGGATGTATATTTTTATGAATTTCAGGAAGCGGCTTTCTTTCTTGCCCTGCTACCACCTGGGATGTCATTGGAAACAGGACAGTCTACTGTCCCCCGCCTCCCTGGATGACCTTCACGGAACACTGTCCTCTTGGGGCCATACTCTGATAATAGTGTGCTCTCACCGTACACTGGATGGGGCCCCCAGGGGCGCCTCCGCCGCTCTCAGACTGGGCCCGACAGCAGGGCAGCCAGACTGCTCCCTGGCTCATGGGCTGCCCTTGGAGACACCCCTGCCTTTGTCCTTGTTCTGATCAGATTCCTGAGTGTGGCTCTGCACACGAGAAGATGGGCCCCCAGCACCGGCCCGGGGAAGTCGTTCCCAGCAGCCTGGAAGGATCCATGAATCAGCCTCACCGCGCGGCCCAGGGATAGGATGCTGGTGCTCAATGTGGGGCTCAGCTTGTGCCTGAAGCCTTGCCTCACCAGCCGAGTGAACTGTTCCCCCACAGCCCTAAGGCAGAGTTAGAACTGGCTAAAGGTGCCGGGCCGGAGAGGCGTCTGCTCTCCCCGTGGGGTGTAGGGTTAGGACGGCCTCTAACATGGGCACTTAGGGGCCAGAGTGAGAAGGGAGTCGAGGAGAAAAACCTTTGCTAGTGTCCTTCTGGCCGTCTGACCAGAACTCTGTCTCGGCATTCCAGGTGTGTGGCGGCCGTGAGAACGAGTACGTCCAAGGAACACACCATTTGTTTCCATCGAAATGTAAAAAAAGCTCAAATGATGATGCACGTGCCTTGGACACGCGTACAGTGCGGACCAGTGATGTTCAGCTCCCTGCTTTCGAGCCCCACTGGGCCCTTCTGAGGGCAGCCTCTGCTCCTGGAAGCCCTCCAATGTCTGTGTTTCAACAATACACGATCCAGACTTGGCAGGGCGGGTGGAAGCCATGCGGCTCTGCTGCTGCACGGGGACTGCAGAGGGGCTCCTGGGAGCAGCGCTGAATACACGGAATACATATTTAGTTGGCTTGTCTGTGTGGAAACTCGGTCGTTCGATTCCATGGTCTGTCTGTCTTTTCCATGCTCATCGCACTAATGTCTGTCTTCGAGGGCTGGGGCTGCATTTAAATGGTCTGAACATCGTGAAAGAGAGATTCCCACAGGCACAAATAATTAATCCATGCATTTTTGATCTTGAGGAGGAGAAAGAAAGAAGAGAAGGATTCTGGTCCCATGAAGGCCGTGTCCCCAGGGTCTGAAGCAGCATGTGGCGCAGAGCGGACCTTTAATCGGGAGATGGATGGATGGGTGGGAGGGAGGATGAATGAACTCAGAATATTGTAATGTATTTTTTATATAATTTACTGGCCACCTTATCGACTCTGATTACTTAGAGAAACACCTCAAACAATGCACTTTCTCTCTGTTGCCTTCCCTAACCCTGCTTCTTCTACGACCTCAGTGGTGTCCGTAGCTTTTCCTCCACAAATATATACCTAGGCTCCTCATGGGTGTGCTCAGCCACCAGGCAATAACATGTCACTGAGCAGTTTCCTGGCTGGAGTCACGGCTGTATCACCATTGTCAGACACCTGGCATCTCCTAAGTGCCGCTGGGGTTCCCGGCTGGGGCGAAGGCAGAAGTGGCCAGAGCCACTGGTCAAGACTGACAATATCTTTTACCCTTTTTCTGAAAAGACTAGTTAGTCTTTGAGCTAAAAAGAACTGGCAGATACACTGTACTATAATCTTTTAGCAATTTCAAAGGCAAATTTCAGCTACTTTGATGGAAACATATAGTAGCACCTCTCCCCTTGTATTTGCTTCAAAGGGCAAACTATGAAGTTCTGAAGGTCAGAATGTAATTTCTGAGCGCGGGCCTGCCTTTTCTTCCGATCCATCAGGTGGCCAGCTCCTTAACAACGCAGTTTTGTCCACTCTGCTCTTGATCGGACTTTCCTGAAGCCCCCACCTCCGGATGAACTTTCTGGCTCCACCCCCAAGCATCGCACGTTCAATTCCTCACGTGTTTCTACTTCACCCTTTGTCTTGCTTTTTAAGATGCTCATTCCCTGGCGCCCCAACCCCCGGACTGCCCCACCACCATCTCCATGATGGGAGCAGGCAGGCCCTGTACTGTCCTCCTCCTGGGACAAGGCTGAAGACAGAAGCAGACCCAGGCCCTGAGGAAAGGGCCTGGGCGAGGGGCAGCAGCTTCCAGGCTGAGCTCATTCGTATTTGGGCTCATGAGGGTCCTGAGAGAGACTCTGTCCACTAGGGTGGGTGGTTCATCGTGTGCTCCCCAAAGCTGGGTCAGAAATAGGGGTGGGGGGCTTGTGCACTCGATCTGCTCCAGCAGCAGAGACTCCCCCATCTGGGCAGGACAGGGGGCAGCATACTCATCCTTGGAGGAGAGGGGACCACTGCGTCTCTGGACGGCCGCGCAGTGTTGGGTGGGCTTCAGACACACATGTCCCTATGAACATGCAAGAAACCCGCTCCCACCATCCGTCGAGAACTGAGTACCGTCCTGACCAGGGAACAGACTGGGGCCCAGAGCCGACTCCTGTGCTTGGTGGCAGGGGTCCCCTCGGCTCCCAGGCCAGCTCACTCATTCACGCACCGCTTGGCACCATGGACCACCCCCTCGTCCACGATCCGTCAGCAAGACTGCTGGGCATCTTCCCAGGAAGACCCTTGGCTGCGTCGCTGCTCCCTGTTCTAATCCATCCCAGGCCTTCAGCCTTCCAGCCTGCTGAACTCCCAGCAGAGCGTGAAGTCCTCCTTGGGTTGTTGAATCATGTTGTTACCAGCCTCTGGCAGGGCATGTTCTAATTCTGTGTTTGTACCTTGAGCAGAGTCACCAGAAAGGACATTGTTGGAGGATGTGTTCCACCTGCGTCTGAGATGAGGGAAGGCGGGCCGCTCTCTGCTCACAGCCGTGTCCTCTGCCCTCTCCCTCCACCCACCCCTCTTCCTGGATTGCTACCGAGAGCTCAGGCACCAACGAGCAGGAACAGCCAGAGACCAGCCAGGAAGCGTGGACACAACCAGCACAACGTACGCCCACGCACACGGCCAGGGTATCCGCACACCGTGTCGGGAGACACGTGCACACACGCGTCCTGTGCCTTCCTGGCCTCTGGAAGGATGCAGTGATGGACACCCTGCCTCCCCATCGGTCCACAGAGCCCAGCAGGTCTCCCTTCTCCCTCTCGGCCCCCAGTCCTCTTTGGTTTCCCGCCCTTACCTGCCTGACCCACGCAGCAAGCTGTTTAACCTTATGGATTCCTTGGCCAGAAATGACCTCATTCATAAGTGTGAAACATGACGGAAGGACAGCCACAGGAGTAAAGCATGGTCGGGGTCAGAGAGACGGAGGTCAGAGGAGACACAGGGCAGCTAGGGCCACGTTCACCCCACAACCCAGGTACTGGGGCTGAACAGAGCACAGAGCCCCACCCTGGAGCCACCAGATCTGAGGAGGCATCAGGAGCCTGCATTTCTAGCAAGTCCCCCAGTGACACTGGTGCTGCTGGTCCACGGCCCACATTTCAGAACCACTGGGTGTGTCCCACGAGCCTGAATTTCTGCGATTCATCATCTCCTCGACACTTGCGAGTCAATACCGTCCATCACTCTCATTACCACCCCGGCAAAAGCCTGGCCAACAAGCCGCCATGGGAAACCCCAGAGAGAGGGGACTGGGCTCCATTTCTAAAACCTGATGCTGTTCTGCCAAATTCCTTGGGGTTTCCTCAACCTTCCAGTTTAGCACCTCCCTGGAGCTTTGAATCGAACCTCCTCGAGGGAAACCTTTGGCTCTTTTCCCTGAGAGAGCGCAGTGGTGCTTGGAAAGGGGCAGGGGCACCCTTTCCAGGTGGTGGAGGTGGAGCTGGTCCCTTCTGAACAAGCCCAGAGCAGGATGCCCGCCCCTCCGCCCAGGGAGCCGGGCAGGGAGGACGACGTCGGATTGGAAACAAAGAACCCCACCGAGCAAAGTGTCTCCAGACCAGAGCTCCAGTAGGACTGGGAGGCTCTGCCGCACCTGCGGGACGGACTTCTGAGCGCCGAGAAGGATGCACCCGCGAGGAAGGGGTGGGCGGCCTCTGCCCCCCGAGCACCCCCGCCCGGGCCCAGCCCCCAGCCCCTTGCGGGCGGCCGCTCACTGTTTCGGGGCTTCTCCTCGTCCAGGCCCTCGTCCTCATTCTCGGGGTCGATGTCCTCGGCCTGCGTGATCCAGTCCAGGTAGCCCTTCAGGTCTTCCTCCAGCTGCTGCTTCTCTCGCAGCTTCTGGAAGTCGCCCCGGGCCTTGGCCTTCTCTCGCTCTTTGGAGAACTCTCTGGTGAGAGGCGCCAAGCGGGCGGTGCGGGAGAGACGGGGCGGGAGGAGCAAAGGGTTAGCTGCATCGCACAGGAAGCCCACCGCCGGCCCCCACTTGCATGGACCCCCGTCCCAGGCCTGATCTGCTTTCATAAAGTGGCTGGGGGGGCATCCTCACCCGGGACATGAGCAGCAGATAGACCAAACCCATGTCCCCTCTTTTTGGGCTGTGACTGCAAGCTGCCTCTCATGACAGACGTCCCCCAGTGACCTGAAAGGCCTTCTAAACAGTAGCCAGTGGGGACCCCCACTACAGCCCTGGGAGACGAGGAGCTGGAGTCTAGCTGAAGCCCCCCCCGACCCCACCGGCTCTGCCAACCCAGGTGCTGCCTCAAGGGCTTGAGGTTGGCCCTGGTGGGGTGTTCACACTACAGAAATTGTCAGATGTTACAAATCAGGGCTCTGCCCCTCAAAGAGCCCGTGATATATGTGGGCTGGGATAGTCACTGAGGTCAGGCCCAGGAGAGCTCACCTCTCCACCCCTTCTCATTTCTAGGGCATGTTCTGCTGGTTCAGCAAGCCTGGAGGGTTTCTAATCTAGAGAAAGCTCTTTCCCACATGAAGGAGACAAAAGAGGGTTCCAAACACAAGAAAATGTCCTGTGGCTGCCCTTTGGGTTAAAAAAGAAATCTAATCAGAATGGGAAAATGCATAAAGTCAAGACGATATAAAAGTTAAATGGGGCATTCAGTCTCAAGCAATAATGAGTAGAAGCTAAAACTGGGTTGGGATTTGCTGGAAGAAGGACCTATTAAAGAATTTTGGAGAGTGTCTACTTCTTTCCTGTTTTCTGTGACTCTGTCCTTATTTTCTCTGTGATTTTGAATTCACTTTCTGAGCCAGGAGGGGCTGGTGGCCAAGAAGGGGGTCAAGGAGGCTGGGTCTCACTCTTGAAGCAAGTCTGTGCCTTTTCTAAATAAATAGCCGTGCATGCCTCAGTCTGTGGTACTCGGGACCCCTGGGGTATCTGTGGATGCACTGGGCATTTCAGCTTCTTCCTAGAGACAAGACTCCTCCTTCCCTTAGTGGGGGAGGTGCAGGTCAGGGTGGGAGGCTGCAGAGTCCACCTGGAGGGATTCTGCAGGATCTGACGCTCCACAGGCAGGCGTCGTGGAAGGCAGGGCACACAGGTGAGCCAGAGGGCAGGACAACTCAGCTCCGGAGCCCCCACACCCACTGTCCAGGGTCTGCATTCGCTGCCAGAGCTCAGCTTTCACTCTTTACCATGAGGGGTAGGGCTGGGACGGTCTGGGGACATTTCCGTTGGGAGATGTGGGCTCCGAGTTCTTGCCAACTGCCGCTTTGATGATGCTCTGATTGGGACGGGATGTTCTTCACTCTGATTGAATCCAATTCCAGTCTGATTGAACTTGCTCTTCCTGGGCTTCCTGCCAGCTGCCCAGCACCTCCCCTACCTTCCCAGGGGAAAAAGGAGCTGGGCTGCCCGCTGACCACGTGGAGGGAGGCCTCAGCTTCTGCCGATGGGGAGGGGCCTGGAGAGAGGCCCCAGACCTCCGCACCCACCACTCCTCTTGGGCTGTGGGCTCGCTGCCTGGACTCACTTCACAGAGCGCCCCTCCAAGACTGCAATTCCAGGCCCCCTTGATCATCCTCCCACCCCACCCCCCACCTTTGGGAGCTCTGTTCCTTGTGCATCGGGCTTGGGGTGCAGGGGACTGAGTAGCTAAGGTTGTCCTCCTCCTGGAGCCGGGAGCTGACCCAGTCATGCATGGTGACATCTGCTCTGCAGAGTGGAAGCTTGCCATCCACATCCGAGACCCCTGGGAACCACACAGACACCCCCAGGAGATGAGGAAATGAGGTTTCCTGGGGGTGAGGGGAGTGAGGAGCAGTATGGCCGGGTCCTCATGGGGTTTAGGGCACATGGAAGGGCGGGGGCTCCCCTTCCAGACCCCACGTTATAGGGGACCTGCAGGGCGGAAGCACCTGTCTCTTCCTCTCCTTTCTGACGTCTCACGCTGCTGTGTCAGTCATGGGGTGTCTGTCTGAAGGCAGGGGCGCTGGCAGTGGCTGACGGCACAGATGTGGTGGAGAGACCATTCTGGGTGTGCGGTTTGCACAGCTCCCAGTGGTGCATGTGGAAGGTCTGTTGGTGCCATGGCTGGGGCTCCAGGCCCCATGATGACCGGTGTAGCCGCTCCTCATCACCCACGGACTCTGCGTCTGCAGACCTGTCTCCTCCCCAAGCCTTATTAGTCATGCCATCCATGGCGAGACTGTGGTCACTGCAGACATGCAGGAAGGCAGGATCCGGGGTCATGATCCCGGCCGAGGTGAGACAAGGGGCTGCCACCTTCTGGGTGCAGCTCATACTGCAAATGAGGGCCTTTTTACAGCCCATCTGATGCCATGTCTCCCGCATTTTGTACTTTTTGTTGGTGATTTTTCTGATTAAACGGCCTCCAAGCATGAAGCTGCTGTGCAGTCTATGACCCTATGTGCTCAAGGGCTGGGATGTGCCTCCGGGGAATGTTCAAGTGTCTGACGAGCTCCATCCAGGCCTGAGTTATAAGCTGTGGGCTGAGAGTGCGGTGTGAACGAACCAATACTATGCCTTAAACAAGATGCCTTCATATAGATGCACATACACAACAACTTGTGTCCTGATGATGAGGCTGTGTCCAGAGGCTCACAGGAACCTAACCCGCTATTTCCCCCAAAGAACAGAGTTCAGTGTTCATGAATTCAGTGTTGGACCAACCCTGCAGGGAGTTGTGAGCATCACCCCTACTCCAGTTGCGAGGCAGCTTGTCCGGCACTTCTGCTGCTTCTTGACGTGGGTCTTAACTGTGGCTGGTGGTCAGGGCTGTTTCCATGTCACAACATGCCTGTTGTACCCTCAGGACCTCTGCCTCATCTCCAGGGGGAACAAGAGCTGGGCACCCACCGTCTAAGAGATCCCATGCCCCTTATCACCTGAAGACATATGTCTTCTCTGTTTGCAACAACTTAAAACCAGAAAGTGACCAGAATCCAGGGTCCAGTGACTTTCACTCGATTGCAACTTCTAGCACAGTTTCCAGAATCTTGTGGTCGTGATCACTGTTCTAATGGGCGGGAGGTGAGATTTCTGGAGGTTCCGAGACTTGTGAGAATCAACAAGCAATGAACGTGGAAGCATTTTGAAAAGATCCACAAGATGGATAGCTACATGGATCCATCTGGCCTCAGCAGGAATAGGTTTCCAGACAAAGGATGCCCAATCTTCCAGTGACCAAAATCTCTGACTTCCATGTTTAAAATGTAGGCTTTCCATAGTTGTTCTCCTGCCTTCCTGAGCAGGAGACCCCAAGCACCCTGAGCCCTTCCTCCATGACTGCAGGGAGGAATATATAAGGATGAGTTACCCTGCTGGGCTCTGAAAGGACAATACCCTTAGTTGATGGACGCAGGGTCCCAGCCACCAGCTCCAAACACTTTGAGATGACAGTGCTGCATGTGGGGAGCTCTGTTCTTCTTCAAGGGTTGTTACATTTACCAGCTGCTGGCCCCCAGCTCAGGACCGCCTGAGGCCCTCAGGGCAGGGATTCTCCAGCTTCCTCCAGGACCCCTGGTCCTCGGTCTGGGCTCCCCATATGCCCACAGGTGACTTCTCCCCCCTGCATCTTGGCCATAATTTGGAGTCATGGGATTAACGAGGCTGATGGGCTCGGAGACAGGGGAGCGTGGGGGATGGGAGCAAAGGTCGTGGGTCCACATGTGGGGGTTTAATCCTGATCCTCAAGGCCCCACCTGTGAGAACTGGGGAGGTTTCCACATATAAACCTCACTTTACTTCTCTGTGGAGTGGACATGTGCTCTGCATCAGCTCTCGGGGCAGCGTGGGCAGCACGTGAGCGGATCCACCAAGGACGCCAAGCCCGAAGCCTGCTGACGAACTCCTCACAACAGACACCGACCCGAGAAGGGGCTTCGTGGCGAGCCCCTGGACATTTCCAAGTATTCTGGAAGGTTGGCCACAGGGCAAGCGGGCATATGGTTGTGATCCGGGGGGAGTGGTGGGGGAAATACCATAGCACTGTCTTGACTGGTCAAGACGGGGTCACTGCCGCACATGCTCAGTCAACAGCAGCCTGGTTCTGGGCTTCTCCTTGGGCAGCCAGCCCTTTGGCTGGGCCAGGAAGGGGAGCTGCTCGCCTGCAGACACTCTGAGTCCAGGCAAAGCGGGTGTCTGGGACCTAGGAAGCTTGGGAGGTGCAGCAGTGTTGGGCCGCTGGGGTGGGGAGGGGTCTGGGGAGACTGATCGAGGGCTGAGCTCCCAGGAGGGGAGTGGATCTGGGTTCTAGAATCCCGTGGGCCCACCCACCCACTCAGACTCAGCTGGGCTGAGACCCACCCTTTAAGACCACTCTGCATGCCCCCAGCACTGCCATAATCTGACTCTGTTCTGACCTCTGGGGAGGAGTACCCCTCGGGGGCCGAGCACGACCAGGCAGACCCCTGCTCGAGGGGGCTTCGTGGTCGATGCCTCAGCCTCCACTGCAGATTTCCAGGGGAACTTCACTGCTCAGACCTGCTCCTAATCTCTGGGGGAGGACGTGGAGCCACGTTTATCAAGGTTGAGAAGCTGGCACGTCACAGGCCCAGCTCACTCAACATTCGTCTGCGGGCAGTGATGGGGAGATGGGAGCAGGGCAGGGCCTTGTGCAGACACTGACCAGTGAGGGGACCCCTACAAGCCCCATGGCTCCTCAGGGGCCCTTCCCTCATCCCTGGAAGCAGAGGGCAGCACGTCTAACCTGGGATGAGCTGCTCAATTGTCCAGCTCCGACTGCACCGAGCCAACAGTCAGCCCTGTGGGGACAGCACTGCCGTAGGGATGGTGCCGCTGCTGAGCGCCTGCTGCCCGCCGAGGCACTGAAGTAAACGACCACATGCCGCCATCACAGCGACCGAGGGGCTGGGGTCACGATCCCCGCTTTGTCAGCTGGGTGAGCAACATTTAAGAAGCTCCTGCCTCCAGGAAGGCCAGCGCTGGAGCAGCTAAATTTCTGCCCTGAGAGGTGACGAGTTTGACTTTTCCAACCCTCTCCCTGACGACCTCCTGTAAACAGGCCATTTTCTTGTGTTGGACACAAAATGGAAACCCTGCCACCCTCCAGGCAGCTGACATGGGCACCCACTGTCCTGTGCATCGCTGTCACACTGACGGAGGGTGCTAGTCCCCCCGCTGTGTGGCCAGGGAGATGGGGCCTCTGATGGCCCTCCTGTTGGGGAGGGGTGAGGTCAGGATGGACCCTGTCCCTTCCCCACTTCCAGGGCCGACCCTGACACTCCTGTGGGGCCTTAGACTGTGGCAGGAGATGGGGGGTGTCCTCCTCTTTGGCCGACTCTCCCCGACACACACATCCCCAGACAGGGAGGAAAGGCTGTGAAGCAGCGGCCCCTCCCCCATGTGGTGCAGGAGCAGAGAGTCACGGGAGCCTTCAGGGGTGGCCTTGGCGTGGCTGGCTTGGGCTTGGAAAGAAGAAAGGGGGCTGAGGAGATGTCCACTGGGGCTGTGGGGCAGGGGTGGTTGCCCAGGGCTCCTTGGACCCTGCCACCTGCTGCCTTGACCACTTTTTAACTTTATCTGTACCAAGGCCAAAATTAGGAGGGCTTCCTACTTGGAGCTCAGCAGAAAAAGTTGAAGGAGAACATGCTCAGTCTCCTCTGTCCTCCTGTAATCGGGAACTTTAAACAGCTGAGTGCTCCTCCTTCCCGAGGCGGACACAGACAGGGGCAGCCCAGGCTGCGATCAGAGCCAAGGAGAAGGGGAATCTCGGTTTGGTTTATTTGCATTTTAGCTCAAACTCCTGGCCCAGTCAGCATGGGTAAAGAGGGCCTGAGTCCTCACTGCCAGTGATCCTGGACGGAGGCTGGACAGATAGTCCAGGTGCCCGTCTGCTAGGCTGCTACGAGGGCCAGAGCAGACGGCCCACGAATCTTCCTCCAATTCCTCTGCCAAACCGAGGGGCCCAGATGCTCCCGAGGTCCCTGGAAAAGCGTCCTGTCCACCTGGACAGTCCAGCCTGGCGTGGGCAGGGCTGGCAGGAGACAGGTGGACCCAGGTACCTCTCACTGTAGCCCAAACCAGGGGGGCTCTTCCCTGTGCCTCTGACCTCTGTCCAGCCAGGCCAAGGACATTCACTTTAAGGCTCCCGGGCTGGCCCATGTCCCGGGTTCATCAGAGCCAGAAGAATAGAGCCAGGAAGAGCAGAAAGAGTAAAACAAGGTAAATGGAAAAGTCGAGACCTTCTTGCTTGGTCCTGCTTACCCGCTAAGGACACCGAGAACCAAGTTAAGAACAAAGAATGAACCTATGATGATTAATGTGACAAAATAGATCCAGGGCCAGTCCCTTCCCACGGCATCATTGACCTGGAAGAACGGGGTCAGAGTTAGTGCAGCTCCGGGAGCAGCCGAGCACGGCCCGCTACCCTGGGCCCGGCGCCACTGGGAGGCGCCGGGACCGGGGCATCCGGGTCACCAGAGGCCAAGTGGCCTGCCCAGCCAGCGGTCCGCATGTGCAGCTGAAGTGAGACAGTTTCTGTTCTCCTGGGCCTGGTGACGAGTACACGGGGCCTGGGGCCTTGCTCAGCTGCGTCGTGACGAGGACACAGAAACACTCAGCTTACCCGCTCAACACACCAAGAACCAGATTTAGAACGAAGAAGGAGCCGAAGATGACCAGACTGACAAAATACACCCAGGGTAACTCGTAGCCCATAGCGTCCTGCATCTGGAAAGACCAAGGACAGTGAGGAGAGAGAGAAGCAAGAGTGAGTTCACAGCGAGGAGGCCGGGAGGCCAGGAGGGAGGAGCAGAGATTAGGGGGAAACCACTGTCGCCCAGCGCCACCTTGATTCTAACACTCGGTGACCTTGACCTGAGCGGGAAGGACGTTGGCGGCTCTGCCTCCGGGCGGGTGGGGATCTCGCTCGGCTGTCTCTGTCCTTTTATTTTCGGGGGAACAGAATTTCCCTCCAATAGTTTCTATTCACTCGTCTAAGAAGCTGGGTCACCTCCAAGGTGCTTTCTTCCCTAGGAGATGGTTTCCGCTCACTTGGGTTTATGTGGTCACTGTGGCCGGCACCCTGGCCTCAGCTCTCACAGACAAGCAAGGGTGGCGGCTTTGGGGTCGCATGGGGAGACGCCTTCCTCAGTGAGTGGCCCAGGGGCCTGAGTGGATGAGTGCTGATGACCACGCTGTGTCATTGGCTTCAGAGGCCACGGGCTGGGAGGACGGTGGTTCGGGGTTGGTGCTCAGGGAGCAGCTCTAGCAAACATGGGCCAACGGAGATCCCATGGGAGGTTGACACCACTGGGTTTCCAAAATCCCGCAGGGCACAGGCTTCCCGAATGACCTGCATCTGTGATTCTCCAGGGGAGGCCCCAGGGCCAGCAATATCACCCTCCCTGGGCACCTGGGACCTAGTTTGGAACCTCACCCCTCGGCCTTACACCCATACTGGGGGCGCCTGACGTCCCAGGTTCTCACAAGCCCCGGGTGCATCTGATGTGTCTTAGGCTTGAGACCCGCTGGTCCACAGCCCAGCCTTCAAAGCAAGGACAGGACAGAGGCTGTGACTCTCTGCATCCTCTCACACCCCCACCTTAGCTCTGGGCCCCCTGCTCTGGGGCGGCCTGGGCGCCAACACATGTGCGGGCGGCCCTGAAGTAGGGCAGTGCGGGAGCAGGAGACGGATGGCTTCAGTCAGCCCGCGTGGAGCTATTCAGGAGAGAAGAATAAATACAGCCGTATTTTAAAGAATGACCCAGATTACTAACACCCTTACTTAGAGGTGAAAAAGGACAGGTCTGCTCAGACACTGAAGCCAGTCGTTCTCTGGGCCCCTGTTGGGTGGGCATGCAGAGAGGCCCCCGGGGTCCACCACCTGCAGCCCCTCAGCTGGGACCTCACCAGTAACCAGGCTTTGCTGAAACACATGCCTCCCCTCCCCCCACATCTAATTCCTGGAGGGAACCACACCTCCAACCTTCAAATCCAACATCATGTTTCCCCAGGAAGAAAACATAGGAGGACTGTTGACTCCAGCCCCATCTTCTGGGGGCCTCTCTCCACCCCAACTGACTCCAGGGACCTTTCAGGTCTGGTGCCCCCTCCAAGGCATTGCGGTACCCAAGGGCTGGGCAGTTTGGGGGGCGTGGGAGGCTGTCACCTGTCATCACAGGTGGGAAGTGCAGCCTTTAAAATCACAGTGCATTATAGGGACTGTTATTGGTGGGCGGGGTCGGCTCTGCCCTGAAAGCAAGTGCCTAGGGCGGTGGCCGGATGAAACCCTGACCTGTATCACCTTGTCTGTGGGACATGGGGTCCACCCGCAGGTCACTGGGGGAGCAGCAAGTCGGGGGACCATCTCACCTGACCCCTCCTGCCCCTCTGTGCCTGCTCCGGCACCAGGAATGCCCAGGTGGTGTGGGATCTGCCGCAGGCCCACCACTCGACAAAACCAGCTTCTCTGGGACTTGGCCGGGACCCTGCACTGAGTGGGGTGTGGAGTGGAGGCCCGTGGACCTTGCTGTCCCAGGTGGGCCTCTGGTACTTGGTGAGGCCACAGGGGGCTGGGCTGGCTCTTGGATGTGTGAGGAGCCCAGAGCACGGTTCTGTCCAGTCTCCAAACTGGTGTAAAGCCAGCTTTTCCCTCTCTCTTGCTCCCCACTCAGTGAAACTGATGGGCCAGCGAAACCCCGCCTCCTCCGGGAAGCCCTCCCTGCTCTCGCGGGGTCCTGAGTGGGAGCCACATTTCTCTGTGTCCACGTCTCTCCAATTAGAGCCAAACTCCTCAAGCGCAGGCCTGGGGGCCCTGTAAATGCTCACTAAATGTGTGTTCAATTGAATTACTGAGTAATAAGAACTTGCCTAATGCCAGCAAAATGAATAAAACAAAACCTAATAAGTAAACAAATTATAGCTTTGAGAGATGAGAATTCCCCTTTTTAATATGTTTATAAACCAGGAGTGTATTGTTTAGGTAACAGAGTCTCTGTTTAAAGCTGCGTGGGTGCTGAGCAGTAATGCCCAACCTAGGGCAGACTCGGGGTTCAGGGCTGGGGGTACCGGGGACCCCGACACCTTCTCTACCTCATCCCTGTTACAGCCAGGTGCTGTCTCTGGGTGATGAGGACTCTTCTCCACTTTCACCCTGAGTGGCTCTCTGTCATTGGTAGAGCTCAACTCCCCAGCTCTGCTCGCTGGACACCTTTAAGGCAGGGAGAAGAGGTGGAGATGGAATGGGAGAGAATAGGGTCAAACACCCAACGCCACCTGCTTGGAGGCAAAAGACCTTCCTCATAAACCAGGGATATTTCAGCAGCGCCGAGGCCAGAGATCAGTGGCCATGGTGCGTACATGTATGTGTGTGCATGTGCACTCGTGTGTGTATGTATATATGTGTGTGCATATGTGTATGCATGCGTGAGTGTGTATCTATGGGTATGTGTGTGCATGTGTGAGCATATAAGTGTGTGTATGTGTGCATGTATGTGTGTGAGTGCACGTATGTGAGGAATGTCCTCCCAGTGTGTCCACACATGTGAGTGTGGAGCTGACAACTGACTTGTGCAAAGTTAAAACCTTATGCTTTCGTTCCTGCTGGAGCCAAATTGAGGCAGAAGCTCCCAAAGACACATCTTTCCTTTTTGTGATTTCTCATAAGGGAATCCTTTTAATTTTAGTTTTAAGCTGAATCTCTAATTCTTAAAAATCAGCAGAAGAACTGGTCAGGGAGAAACCAACTGGGGAAAACAGGAGGTGTCAGGAAGTGGGAGGGGATGAGTGCTGGTGGAGGAAGTGAGGCCAGGACACAGGCCAGATGGCTGTCCTGTGTCACACGGGAAGCAGAGTCTGGGGGCCCGGGCAGAGGGCCTCATGGGCAGAGGTCAACAGAGTCCCCATCATGGACAGTTGTTGAGGCACTGAGATTCCTGAAGTGCAGGGTGCCTGAAATCCTGCTCGGAGCCCTGCTTGGGGCTCAGGGGACACTCATGCCTCCCTGCAGATGCCCTGTGCCCCCCACTCCATGGACACAGGGCGTGGGGACCTCTGGGAGCTCCAGTAGGGGCTGGGGCTGGGCCCTCAGTGTCTGTCCCCCAGCTGGACCTCAGCGTCTGTCCCCCGGCCGGACCCTCGGCGTCTGTTCCCCCCTAGACCCTCGGCATCTGTCCCCAGGCCGACCCTCGGCATCTGTCCCCCGGCCGACCCTCGGCGTCTGTCCCCCGGCCGACCCTCGGCGTCTGTCCCCTGGCTGTACTGGGTGGGGGAGAGGGCCCTTCCCTGCTCAGAGAGCTCCATGTTTTATAGGAAAGCAAAGAGGGGTGTGAGAGCCTGTGGGTTTTTGGAGAAGGAGCCTGAGGAGAGGAAGGAGGAGCAACCAGAGAGGGTACAGAAGCAGAGGAGAGCGAGCAGGCAGGCGCTCTGGGCTAGGAGGGGCCTCCCTCAAAATACCCACCAGGAGGTTCCCTTTTGTCTTCAGGGGTGTGTGTGTGTGTGTGTGTATAGGTGCCCGCACACAGACACACACGCACACACAGCTCGGGCACTTAGGAAGGTGCTGGGAGGGTCAGGGGAAGGCCGACAGGGCTGGGGTCTGTCCCCACCTCTGACACTGCCATGCCCTGCCCGAGCTCATCACCACCTCCCTCCACTGGAGGGGGGGCGAAGGGGAAAGCACAACACAGCTGTTGAAAATTGCTGGTTGCTGGGCAAGCTCCTCTCAACCCCCACTCTGGCTGTCACTGTGACAGCACCTCCTTGGACCACATCTGGCTGGGGGGGTGGGAAGCAGGAGGGAGGGATGAAGGAGGATCACAAAAATACATCAGGCCATCAGCAAAGTAAATTATACCTATTCCCCCACCCCCACCCACCCACCCACTGCCGTCCTGCCCTCAATTTGATGCCATGGGAGGTGTTTCCATGGCAACGTAGGGCCTGGGTTTGGAGCTCATATGATGAGGCCCCGGAGCCCAGTCCCACATGACCACCTGTCCTGTGATGCCCGTTGCTAGAGGATATCTCTGTCTTTGACTGGCCAGAGGGACCCACCCAAGGTAGAAGGACTCCTTAGGGCCACTTTTGAATTCTATCTGCTTTGCTAAAAGAAATTAAACTTGCCCAGAAAGAGTAAGCTCATCTCCCTTTGTCTCACAAATTATTCAAAGCCAAGTTCTTACTGAGTATGAGCCTGGGAGAGGTGTGCCAATGTTCGTCTCGGTTGGAGGGAGAGGTGATTAGACCTGTGTCTTTTCTGAGAGTGTCACTGCATGACCACTCTACCAGGCTCCCACGGCACCACCATTGTTAAGTGCAGTCTAGCTGGTTTCCCTGCTCTGAGTTGGATGTAATTGTGTCTGAATCCTGAGGACATCAGGCACCCCCGATCAAGCAGGGAACACTGAATATCATTGGTGGGGTTCAAGGCACGTGGGCAAGTTTAAACTGGTTCTATGAAGAGAAGTGCACATTTCATGGCAGTGCAGGGTCTCAGTCTGCCCCCAGAAACTGGGAGAAGAGGGCTTCTGAATTGTTGAAAACAGTTTAGCAGCCACAATGCCCAGAATGTGCAGAGCATCTCTGAGAGGTTCCAGAACTCCTCCTCCTGGTCCGGGGTGGGGGTGGACACCTCTCCTGGCTCTGGTTCTTCCCAGCCTGGCAGCCTGGCATCCCTTCCTCCCCAAACAGCCTCTTAGACTGTTTTCAGGGAAGCCAAATCCACTTGATTATTTGCAAAACTCTGGGCGCGATGATATTCTCAAGCCCGACAACAAGCATTTTCCACCCAAACGCTGGAGTGCAGTGCTGGGCTCTGGCACGTCAGTTCTCACATGGAAGTAAGAGATCCTACAAAGAATGACATTTTCTGGGGTTTTTATAAATAATGGACTTGACTGCCAGGATGAAGACAGATCAAATATGGTGTGTTTGCCTGTGGGGCAGGCTGCATGAAAACCTGCCCCTCGACAGCTCGGATGCTGGCAAAGTCGTGTTGGCTACTGGCTGATAAAAGGGCATCTTTAAGGTAAAAGGAGATTTACTGCTGATTGGTTGGCACTTGAGAAGTGACATTTCTGAATACGCATCACATGACCAGCAGAGCATTCTGTCAGCAGTGAAGAGGCTGGTTATGCGTTTGTCTGATGGACTATCTGATATAACGAGGGAAGATCAAGCACAAGAGGTAAAACACAATAGAATGCCGTGATGCTGCACAATTCAATAAAAATGCTTTCCTCTCTGAAGACCAGGCCTGAGTCTTCTCTTTAGCCCTAGAAATTGAACTGTGCCCTCCCACTCCCTTGGGGACATGGGCAGGACATGTACGGGGCGGGAGAAGCCCTACAAGAGGACCCTTGTGTCGGGTTGGCCGTAGCCCCACTGGGCTGTGTGCCAGCGCTTGCCACTGTGGAGGACAAATGAGAGGTGACACTTTTCTTGGGCTGGTGAGCAGAGAGAGGCTCATGGGCTTTGTTTCTCAGCAGGACCTGGAAGAAATGAAGGTCCTCACTCCTCCTGGTGTGCGTGTGACCGCGCGGCCCTGGAAGGCGGAGGCTGTCCGCCCCGCCCGCCCCAGCACGTACCCAGTAGAGGACATCGGTCCAGCCCTCCATGGTGATACACTGGAACACAGTCAGCATGGCGAAGGCGAAGTTGTCGAAGTTGGTGATGCCGTGCTTGGGTCCGTCCCAGCCTGGCTTGCACACCGTGCCGTTCTGGCACTGCCGCCCGTGTCCCGTCTCCAGGGCACAGGGCGAGGGGTCGTCTTCTGCTGGGACATCTCAAGTGGCCAGGGGAAGAGATAAGGAGGCGGGGGTGGGGGAGAGGGATGGGCAGAGAAAGAAGAGAGAAGTTAGAAAAACAGGGGGTGGGATGGAAAAGGACCCAGCGGCGACAGTGCAGAGCACAGTCACACCAACGCCCCAAACACAAGTGGACACACACAGCGCTAGCTGCTCATTCAGGCTGCTGTCAATTCAGAAGGTCAGTGCTTTCAGCTGAGTGTTGTAAAACTGTATTTAACCTGGATTGACTTCACAGACAGAGGAGAGGCTGCCCGTCAAACGGCCCGGAAAAATATGACTATGAGGCGACCGCTCTGAGTAAAAACATCCTGGAATGCAGAGGGGGAGGCCATGACTTCTGTTTTTGGTGCTCAAGTATCTGCAGACATTTCTGTGGGAATGCCGGAGTTTAGGGCGAGGGCATTGTGGGTTTTTTAAAAAATATTGGGTAGGCCAGAAAGTTCCCTCAGGTTTTTCCGTAGGATATTATGGAACTTTTTGGCCAACCCAACAATTTTTATTAGAGTATACTTGCTTTGCACTGCTGTGTTAATTTCTGCCATACAGCAAAGAGAATCAGCCATATGTATACATATATCCCCTTTGGTGGATTCCTTCCCATATACGTCACCACAGAGCACCAGGTTCTCATTAGTTATCTACTATATACATAGTATTAATAGTGTACATGTCAATCATTCCCAATCTCCCAATTCAACCCACCTGCCCAGTATGTTTTTTAAAAAATTTACTTATTTTTAACTGAAGGATAATTGATTTATAACATTGCATTGTTTTCTGCCATGTGTCAACATGAATCAGCCATAGGCATGCATATGTCCCCTCCCTCTTGAAACTGCCTCCCACCTCCCACCCCATCCCAGCACTGTACATTGTCATCGAGCCCCAGTTTGAGCTCCCTGTGTCACACAGAAAATTCCCACAGGCCATCTATTTTACACACGCTAGTGTCTATGTTTACCGGCTACTCTCTCCATTTGTCCTGCCCTCTCCTTCCTCCCCTGTATCCACAAGTCTGTCTCTATGTCGGCATTTCCACCACTGCCCTGCAAATAGGTTCATCAGTACCATCTTTCTAGATCCCACATAGATATGTGTTAATATATGATATTTGTCTTCCTCTTTCTGACTTACTTCACTCCCTATAATAGGCTCTAGGTTCATCCACCTCATTAGAACTGACTCAAATTCATTCTTTTTTATGGTTGAGTAATATTCCATTGTATATATGTTCCACAGCGTCTTTATCGATTCATCTAGGTTTCTTCCATGATCTAGCTATTGTAAATAGTGCGGCAATGAACTTTGGGGTACATGTGTTTTTTTCAATTATAGTTTTCTCAGGATCCCTCAGTATTGTTGATGGGAAGGTTCTTTCATGTAATTGGCCAGAGATCCTGCTCAGTGGCACTTCGTGACTCCCCGTAGGTCCATGCAGCATGTAACATGATGCTTCACCAGGGATGCAGGTCACTCTACAGCAGAGGATGCCTTCTTGATGAAGGACAGAGAACAAATTCTGATGGCGAAAAGTACCCCTTACAGAGCATTATCCCAGCCCCAGGGAACAACTCCACTGCAGTATTTTGCATGGTCGTGTCATGTGGAACCTTGCCTCCTGCCCTTTTCTCCAGCATCTTCGGGAGAGAAAAACCGTCTGGACCTTTACTCAGGACAGGGCGGCCATGGGGGATGGGAACAATGCTCCCCCGTATGGAGCCCTCTTGGCTTTTCCAGGAAACAGCTTAACATCTCCCATGGCCGCAGGCTGTGCTCAGGCTAATTCCATGCTCCAGGAAGACATGCTGGGAAATCAGTGAGTTAGGCTATTTTTCATACAGAGGTGGATTGAACTAGACTTGGCTGAGCTGAGAATTTCCATTTTGGTAAAATACTGAGAGTCTTGGTCCCAGTTGCAAGAGGTAATGGCATGGAATTTGCAGAACTCTGAGAAATTAAGAGCATTGTCTTGGGCTTGTAGAAAGAAACAGGGATAACAGACCGGACCTTCGTTCTAGCAAACAACTCAAATGGCAGCGAGGATGTGCCCCCAGAGAGAAAGTTTGCTTGTCGTCCTTCATTTGGAGACTCCAGGCCACCAGAGTCCTCTCTGGTTTCTGGCAGATCCAAGTAATTGGGGGCGAGGACTTCGATGTCGAGGCTATTGGCTGCTGGGCTGCTTCTCAGTCTGTGGCTTCAGATTACAGTTTCTCACTCCCCGGAGGATGACAGCAGAGGAATACTAATCCTAAGTCTTCACTAAGGGTGACCCTTTGGGGCGTGAATTGAGCTGTGCGGTTGGAGACACACGCCGGCCCGTGTCGTCTTGGCTTTTTGCCTTTCTCTCTCTTTTCAAACAGCTTCATCAAAACATAATTTACATGCCAGACAAGTCATCACTGAGCATGGACAGCTCAGTTATTTTTAGTAAATTTATAGAGCCGTCCAGCCGTTAACACAACCCATTTGGAAACGCTTCCACCGCCCCAAATTTCCAAGCCCTGTCTGCAGTCAGCCCCCGGCAGTCACACCTGCCGTCTGTCTACGGATCTACCTGCCTTGCAATTTCATGTGGATGGAATCACACTAGGTGGCTTTGGGGTCCATATTTTTTCACAAGGCACAAGGTTTCATGGTCTGTTCCTTTCCACGGATGTACAGGTCACTGTGGGTTTATCCGCTCGCCTGGTGATGGACAGCTGGCTGGCCGGCTTCCACAGGCTGGGGCCGCTGTGAGCAGAGCAGCTTCTTGGCTTGTTCCAGGCCTGGTGCTCCAGGTCAGGTGTGTGTGCAACGACCCAGGGGATCCCTGGTCCCTGAATCATATGGGGGACGACAGTGTCTGCACCATTTCCTACCCTGGGGTCTGGCCCCCAGGAGACCCCCTTCATGGAAAGGAACTTCGGTCTGTTTTTGGTGACTTCTGAACTTTTGAAATCTTTGCAAATTTGGATGTGAGGTTAAGTAATGGGAGGCTATAAGACGGTGGAACCTGAAAAGTGAGCCTCAGACCTAAGGAATACATAAGAAAGTGGATGACAAGCACCTAGAAATTGAGAGTAAGTGGACTGGAAACCCAGGAACCAAACAGATCATAAATTTTATTGGGTTCACTGGTCTAGTGATGGCTTTCCGGGATGATGTGTTCAGTCATTGTGACAAAAGTGCTGGGAAGATGAAAGATAAGACAAAAGAGAAGGTGAACAACATAGACAGAAACTTGGGTTTCTTTTTCTTGGGTCTTGCTCTCTAGTGCAGTAAAGATGCTGCTAATCTTTGCACTGTGACCCCTGATCTGATAGCTTTCCTTGCATCCCAATTCCTCAGAACTGAAATGAGGAAAAGGTGAAGGCTGCTAGAGTGGGTTCTGAGTGTCCTCAAGGGAGGAGCATGGATCTTGGGGCTTTATAAATGGATGCTGGAAAGAAAACAGCATCCAGGGGACGCAATCTCATTAGTAAATGAGAGAGGACCAGATTCAGAAAGTTGGTCTGCAGGATCAAGTGCCTCTCTGCTATCCTGAATCGGTCTTGAACAACAATAAAAAAAGATTCGAGAACAATTAAGGAGCAATAACAATCTGGTAAAAATAGGTGTCTATAAAAAGCACTAAAGGGAACACTTGGAAAATGTGAACACACACAGATCAGCAGGTCCTGGCAACGTGCCCTTGAGGTTGAGGGGAAATTAGTCTAAACGTGAAGACATGTTGGGTTTTCTGCAGAGCTGTGGGTTCCCTGAGAGGAAGGTGGGAGCGTGAAGTCTGAGAAGGAGCTGAAGCCATGCAGGCTCCCCATTTCAAAGCAGAAGTGAGAGAGGAGGAGTCATTCTGGAAAGTTCCAAATTAAGCCTGTGGCAGAAGAATAGAGGTGAAGATGAGAGAGGTTTTGGAAGTGTGGTTAATACCAGCAGGAGCAGGGACTCTGGGAGAACGCCAGCAAGGGGCTCCAGGGGGAAATGGCCAAAGACAAAACCAGTTACTTTCTGAGGCCTCAAATCTGAGCAGTGAATAGAGAGAAAGTGATTTCACATCTGGGTTTCAGCCAACCAGCTCTCTTCCAGTCTCAGAGGTAATTATTGCGCTTGGGAGAGCGATTCAGAATGACCTGGCTCGAGCGCCACCAAACAGATGGGACAACTAGAGACAAAAAGGATGGACATATGGTGACATGTCTGTTGAGGAACAAGGAAGGCGCCTTGCAGACGCCTCCAGGATCGGGGAACGTGTGTCTCCAAACGCTGCGTCTTCAGGGACTGGAAGGGGCAGCCCACGGGCGGAACAACAGTCCACCGGCAGCCCAGAGCTTTCTGCTGTGGATTCGACACCCAAAGTTTCCCATGTCTACACGCTCACAAAGCTGTCTCAAGTGTAAAAATCACCGGATGTAAAATCCCTTAAGAAAACCAAGACAAGGACATTCAGGCACTTTAGCATAATCTAAATTTGCAGAAAAATTCAGGAATTCAACCCAAAGTCTAAAATGAAAAAAGGACACCCATTCCAAAGGTGATGCCAACGTCTCCAAAGCAAAGGGGGACTGGGGTCAAAGGTTGCAGGCTTGGGCCCTCCACCCTCTGGCTGCGCTGAGTGTGTCCGGGTTCCCGTATGTGTTCTTCCCTGTCAGCACTGGTCACCGTGTGGGTGGAAGGAGCCCTCACCACTGTGGGATGAGGGTCCCTGGACCAGCCCAGGATTTGGTGCAGGACGCCGAGTGAATTGGCTCTGCAGTCAGTGTCCTGGGCGCCCTCCCCATGGGGGGCTGGCTCCACGCACAGACAGGTCCCCTTCCTGTGGGGCTGGCAGGGCTCCTCCCTCGGGAGACTGTCCCCGGAGTCTGTCCTTGGGCTCCCCAGCTGACTGTGTTTCTGCGGTGGGGGCTGATTCTTTTCCGAACCTGATGGCGGGGGAGATAAACCATCAGGTAAATAACCTGGGTGTTTTCTGGAAAGAAGCAGGCACATTTCCTGGTCTGTTTACCCTCAGGAATGGACAGCAGTGTGTTCCCAGACTGGCCATCCAAGCGGCCAGGCCAGTCCTGCCGTCCCCAGAGAGCAGAGGGGCCACTGGAGGTCTCGGCAGGCCTACGGCTGTCCCGTCCAACACAGAGGAGCCCACCGCCTGGGCTGTCACACCCAGCATTTACTGGCCATTTGAGACCACTGATGGCCTGACCACAAAGACAGAGGCTTCCAGGCGGTGCTGGTGCAGCCCCACAGGATCCTGCTGCCCTCAGGAAACCCGCCTTGGCTGGTCCCCGACCTTCGGGGCAGAAACCTCAGGGTGGGGGAGGGAGGTGTGTGAGCGTCTCCCTCAGCTCAGGTAGCACAGTTGCGTGGGAGCGGGTTGCTCAATGGGAATCTCACCATGCCCCCGCCCCCTCCGTGCTCAAGTGAGCCCAATCACGGCCCATTGCTCAGCTGATGGGGTCTTCTAGACCTGACATCTCCATGACGGCCTGAGAAGTCTGGGTCAGATGGGTCATGACCATTTTAATACGATGGCATGAACTTTATATGTCCTATACTCGCCCTCAGGCTGGTCTTAGGATGAGCCCTAAGGAAGCTGCACAATCAATGTTAAATGTATTGGTTCAGGGCAGCTACAGATGGAGCCCAACAAAAAGAAGGCTTTGAATTAAAAGGGGAGAACATTACTCACTGTGATGTTGGGTATTTCTTTAAGCAAGGCTGAAAACCTCAGAATTTTAGCTAAAGTCAAGACCCAATTCCTTCAATTTTAAAAGTTTTTTTTTTTTTAAAAAAGAACATGACAGTTTATTTTATACAATTATGACCCAAGAAATGCTCTCTACAGTGAAAAAATAGTCTCCTCTTAGACTCACCATCAAGAAAGTTAAAACAATTGTGTGAATCTCTGACTATAGGTTCACAGTTTGGGGGTTTCGTTTTGGCTGTGGCCACGTACAAAGACCCAGTCAATCTATTAAGTCTAACCAGACCACACAGATAAGGGGGTCTGCTTTGGTTTCTGAATGTGAGTAACTCATGTCACTCCCTCCACTGAATGTTCCCGCCACACCCCAGGGCAAGGGGCTCAGGTTAAATTTATTGCCTGGGTTGAGGGGAGTGAGAAGTGATGGACATGGAGGGTCCTTCAAGGCTTCAGAGGATGCTCCCCTTTCTTTCCCAAGATGCCAAAAAACTAAGATGGAAGATCTTGTTTGAAAAAAGTCACACATATCGAACATGGGCTCACTCCTTTGCAGAGTATATTGTTTTAAATAATCTTTTGTGCTAAACTACTTTGTCTGTTTAAAAGCCTTGTCAATTTCTATTTAAACGTTTTTTTAATTTTAAAGTCCAGCTGAGATGTTAGGAGCTAAAGACAGCAGTCTGTGGAGTGTCTGTCAAGCCTAAACTTCAGTCCAACCAGGGGTGAACTCAGTGAGCAGTACGGCTGGTTAAACACACTGGCTTATGGGAGGGACGTGGAGAGCCACACCTCCCGGAGGAAAGGAGTCTTGTCACAGGCCGTCCTCCTCACCTGGACTGGGGGCCCCTGGACGGGAGGTAGAAACACTGAGGCAGAGGAGCCAGGTCACCCCAGAGGTGAGAAGGATGCAAGGTTGTGAGCCTACTGGCTGAGGGCGGGGCTTCCTCCCGAGGGCGGGGCTTCCTCCCGAAGGCACAGTTGATGATAAGCCACATGAGGGGCAAGGACAGAGTCACCAACTAAGCTCTGATTCTTAAAAAATTCAGCGTTGGCTAAGCGCCTTGTTTAGAGAGTGCTTATCAGTGCCAGACAGGGCTTCCCTGGTGGCTCAGATGGTAAAGAATCTGCCTGCAGTGCAGAAGACATGGGTTCGATCCCTGGGTTCGGAAGATGCCTTGGAGAAGGAAATGGCTATTCACTCCAGTATTCTTGCCTGGAGAAGTCCATGGACAGAGGAGCCTGGTGGGCTTCAGTCCATGGGTTCTCAAAGAGTAGGACACAACTGAAGTGACAAACACACACACACACACACACACACACAGGGCAGTGCTGGACAAAGCTTACGTTTAGCTATTTTAACAGAGACTCATTTTAGTAAACACAGAAGTTAGACCCCAGAGAGAAAATAAAATCCCTGCCTCTCTTGGCAGAGGAAACGTGGATGCCAGAAGGCAGGGCTCCCCAGCGGCCTGGAGGGATGGCGCCTCCCTTACCTGCAATGCCCTCCTGGTTGTAGCAGGTCTTGTGCATCTTGCCCATGAAGAGCTCCAGGCCGATGATGGCGTAGATGATGATGACAAAGAGCACGAGCAGGGCGATGTGCAGCAGGGGCACCATGGCCTTGATGATGGAGTTCAGGACCACCTGGAGACCTGCAACAACAAAGCTCATGCTATCAACCCCGCTGCCTGAAGCTCATGCCATTTGCTCAGCCTTGCCTCCCGTGAGGGTCTTGCCGCCCAGTTTCAGGTGAGGAAACCGAGGCTCCAGGTTGCACAGTCAGAGTGATGCCTGGTGGGGTGCGGGAGTGGATCCAGGTGGGCCTGACTGCAAACCTCCCCAGGAGCCACATCCAAATGGCAGGACAGGCAGACACTGTCCTTCTAAGGGCCTCTCAACTGGGGAGGAGGAGAGTGATTCTAGCGATACGAGGTGGAGTTGTCTTAGCGTACTTCAGCATGGTTAGAGGGGGAGTTCTGGTTTGCATGTGCCACCTCAATGAATGGGTTCTGAAGTCCCCTGATCCTTTCAGAGAAAAAAGAGTAAGTAAAAAGCTTCTTTCACAACAGGTCTTGTCAGCACCCAGGGGTTTCAGGCCTATGCTGCTGTCTTACAGGGAGAAGGACCCCTTGCTTATAAGCTGAACCGTAACTATCATCCCTGAAAGTTTCTCGTTCAAAGAAGAGGCTGCACATGTTCATTTGTAAATGGTGGTTGCCGGTAAGCCCCCCAGACCTCCCCCAGGTCCCAGGAGGCCTTCTGTCAACAGGGGGACACCATCTCCACATCCAGGACAGAAGTGGGGGAAGGGCTGGCTCCCTGCCTCTCGTCCAGGCTGGTTGTGTGGAGGGTCACACAGACGCCAGGACCCCCACCTCTGAGTCACCCCCGCGGGGCACTGTTAGTCTCAGACCCACCCACCAGCCGGGGGCCACCTCCCTCCTCTCCTGCACTGGGGGTGTCACCCCTCTGCCCCCACTGCCCTTGGCACTGGTGCCCGAAGGCTGGGCACTCCCTCCCTGTGCCCTGAGGGGGTCCCTGAGGCTTCATGACCTGGAGGAGAGGGGTTCACAAGTCTAACTGGGAGGACTCACTCCAGCCATTAAGTGAGCTGGGGAGAGGAAGCAAAACAAGAGAAAAGCCAGAATAATTTCACCTGCGAATTAATGAGAGGGCTTCACAGCCTCCCAGTAGAACATGATGCTTTCTGATCCGAGTGATTCTGTTAATTAGCAGCCAGGTGAGGAGAGCCTTGGAGGAAGCTGACAGCCGAGCTGCACGCTGGCTTTTGGGGTGACTGCTGGGTGCATCCCCGGAGGAGGCTGTTCAGGCCACGAGGGGAACGTGGCAGAGAATAGGGGGACACAGGATGGGGAGGGTCCTCCTGCCATACAAGGCCCCTCCCTCTCTGGACTCCTGATCCAACAGTGCTTCTTTCAGACTCAGACCTGCCATCCTTCCTCCCGCCCCAGGACCATTGTCTGCGCTGTTCCCTCGGCCAGGACACTTTCCAATAACTCCCTCAGCTTATCCTTCTGCTCTCTGCCCAAGGCCCACCCCCCCCCAGCCCCCCACCTGCCCCCCCCCCCGGGAGACACCTCCTTTCTTCTAGGTCTTGTTGGAAACTACTGCTTTCCTTCAGAGCTGAGTCTCCATTTGCAGTCACATGTTCATTAAGTGGCTTTTAAACGTTAATACCCACCTCCCACTTTGGGATGAGCTTTGTGAACATGGGGACTGTGGGCCCCTGGCCCTTTTTTTGCTGAGACTTTGCTCGATGCTGAGCACATGTGGCCTAAGACAGCCAAGCACAGGCTGCTGCTGCCATTACCAAGCTCTGGGGGCTTTGCTGTCACCAAGTCTGGCACTGGGAACTCTGCAAATGGACAGGCGAGGCCCCAGGGCCTGCAGGCCTGGCTGTGAAGGTGCCTAGAAGAAGTCACGCCTATTTCTTCTGGCCACCGTTGGGGCCATAGAATTCCTGACCAATGCTATGCTCCCACCCATCCCTGTCAAGGTGGTGGGCACTCCCCTCCCCAAGCACCAAGATCAGACCTGGGCCTCCAACCATATCAAGTCCTGCCAGTTCGCTTTTGCAGGACTTTAGACAAGTGTAAGTAACTGTTACTACATAAATAATCCATGTTCATCATGAAGGAAATGGGAAATGCTTATTATAGAGAAATGAGAAAACAAAAGGAAGGGGGAAGAAAAAATAACTCGTTTGTGGTCCCACCCCCGGAGGGAGGCACTCCCAGCCTTTTGGGGTGCATATTGGACACTGTGGCTGCTGGATTGGTCACTCAGCTTGCTGTCTCCACGTTGCAGCTGGGATGCTCGTTCCAAAGCACACACGCAAAGTGTCTTCTGATGCGCTGTCACCCACATTCTCCAGCTGATGGCCCCTGACTCCGGCCCACACTGCACTCTCCAGCTGCAGCCTCCCCATGTCAGCACGTGTTCTTCCCCCCGTGGACGCTGCTCCCTGCCTGATGCACAGCCCCAGCCGCCCGTCCTCTCATCTGTGCTCCTCGGCATGCAGCAGGGACTCAGTGCACAGGCTGCTTTCAGAAGTCATGCCATTCATTCAAGTATCTCCCGGAGACACAGAGGGGTGTCATTGGGAAAAGACGAGACCCATGGAGTGGGAAGCACACAGGCACAGAGGGGGCTGTCCATGACCTTCACAGGATTTAACCTGCTGTTCTGAAGAAGGAAAGTGGTGGAATTCAGCATGACCACAGGAATGGAGCCAGGGCCAACCAGGAAGTCAACACAAATAGACTGTCCAAGAAACAGACCTAAGGTGGAGCGGGATGCTCCGAGAGGCAGAGAGCCTCCCATCCCCAGAGGGATGCAAGCAGTGACTAGATGAGCTCATGGAGGAGGAGCCTTGGCGGGGATTCAGCCAGTGGATGAAGAGTGACTCCAGGGTACCGAAACTCAGCCCTCATCGACGTGGAACGAAGACCTGCTGGGGCAGGAAGATGACCCCAATCCCCCTGGCACAACCAGGGAAGTAGGTACTGTCAGTAACTATATCTTACAGAGGAGAAGAGTGAGTTCCAGAGAGGTTAAGCAACACAGCTGGTGGAGAGGCACAGGGCTCAGTGCTGGTGGCCTGACTCTAGGCCAGGGGCTGCACGACTGGGCCTAGTGCCTCCATGTGCCTTGGCCCATGCCCTTCAGCGTCAAAGACCCGCATCTGTGAAGCAATAGCACACGCTCGTGACATCTTCTGGGAAGGCGGGGGCCTCATGCTGCTTCCAGGGGGCCCCACTGCCTCTGAGGCCAGGCTAGCAAAGGCTTCAAGCCCCTGACCTCCATCCCACCACCGGCAGCAGCCAGGATGGGGTGTACAGGTGCCACCAAGGCCCCTCTCTCAGCGCCCCTCTCTGCAGCGCCTCCGCACATAACTGGTTCTCAAGACCTGAGTCTGAACAGCTTCTCCTAGGAACCAGCTCATAGCTATCTTCACAACAGGCCCCTCCCGCTCCCAATCCAACCTGGAAAACTCAGCGACATCTCTGCACCCCAGTGCCTTCCTTGGATGGGCCAGTGAGCAGGATCCCTGAGGAGGCATGGGTCCAGACAAGCCTGGAAAGCACCTCGAGGACACGAGACCACGAAGGGCCCCATGGACACGATCACATGACGTCACTACGGGCCACACCCATGGTGAGTATGTGCTCTTGGCCCTAAATCAGGATGTGAGATCTGACAGACACACGTGGATTTACGGGGACAGCAGGAATGTGGAGCAGACAGCTCCATCTGGCACACAACATACAACCTGGGAGTCCAGTCTCTCATTTGCAGTTTGTGTGGGTGGCCTCCTGGTGAGGAATGAACCGCCCACCCCCACCCCCACCCCAGGAAGCCCAGCTGCCAGCTTTCCAGGGAGACGGGACTCTAACGAGCAGCTTCGCTGGATGCTGGGCTCAGGTAAGGATGGAGAAGCTGAGCTGCATGCACTGCCTTTCCTCTTCTCCTTCCACGCTGTCATGAGGCCCAGCCACTGTCTGCATTCCTGCTGAGGACAACTTCAGACTTCCAGCTTAGGGAAGATGTAGAGGGTCTGAGTATGCAAAGCATGGTATTTTCCCTTAGAAGATTGAGAGGAGCCATTGATTATGGAAACCAGCCACAGCGTCTTCCTTCAAGACCATGTTGACACTGGCCTGGAGGTGCTGGCTATAGGTGATGCTTGGCCCACGATGATGAGTGACTGAGGCCAGAGCAGGCTCTTCTGATTCATCAGGTCAGGAGCCTCTTGTCCAGCCATGCTCCAGTGAGGAGATGGTTTGTGGGAGCCCTAGGGGTGATGGCAGGTTGGGGGGTGGCTATGACTCCATGAGTCAGATCCCAGAAAAGAGGACCATGAGACCTGGGGGCTGAACTGCATATGCAGGTGTGTTTGAAGCAGACCCAGGTCACCTGGCATAAAGGGGAGGGTTGGGGTGGGTGGAGAAACCACTCAAGACCCCAACTCAGAGGTCTCTGCTGATGTTGTTTGATTTGATCATTCAGAGTGGACCTAGAGCTTCTTGGCTGGCAGCTACAAAGGCACATTTACATCCCAACTATTCAGATTCAATGGTGCCTACCAAGCTGTGGGAAAGCAACAGAAATGACCAGGAAACCTGATTGCAGCTCCAAAGGGAGTGATGCTGAGGATCACTGAACAGGGGGAGGTCTGGGCTTAGCACTGGGTGGCAGGTACAGGCTTCTCACAGATGGACCAAAGTTGGCTGGAATGGGAGAACTCTGGGGTCACCACACTCAATGCCTTTGTTTTCACTCAAAGTCATTTGTTGAGCTATATTCCATGGGTCACCTGCCGCCCCAGGGATGGGGGCAGGTGGTCAGTATGAGGCCTAGAGGCCTCGCCCTCAAAGAGCTTATAAAGAAGCCAAACATGGATCAAATAACCACTTAATCGACATGGAATCACAAGCTAAGTGTTTTCAAGGAAGAGACAGGGTGTCATGAAGGTCCCACCCACTCCCATGGCCAGAGGGCAGAGGAAATGTCGTCGGGCAGTGACACATGAGCTGGAGGTTGAGCTGGAGGCTGAGCACGAGGGGAAGAGGACCCAGCTGGGTGGGTCCAGCAGAGGGGTCTGCATGTCCCACATGGAAGATGGCCTGCC